GGTATATTTTTCCATTTATTCTCAAAATTTTTGTCTTGTCTACTTTAATTTTTAAGCCTCTATATTCAGCAATCTCTTGTTTTTCTTGAATGTTGTTGTGTTTTCTGGAAATAAGTGGAAGGTCGTCTGCATAATCCAGGTCTACTAGGTGGACAAAAATTTCCAATGTACGAGGGTTGTCCTTAAAGTTCGTGGACAAGCTAAGAATTAAATAAAAGTTGTGTCATTGATATTTATCATTTGCACATTTTTTATCCTTTACTAAATATGAATGGAAAAATGGAAAATTTTATTCATTTTCAAATGTTTAATTACAATTATGGCTTCACAATTACACTTGGAATGGAGACCCGGAGCACCGCAAAATTATAATTAAAAAGTTATTTATCACTTTATATATTCCATTTATATTTTATAAAATTCCGCGGAAATCTGGATGACTTTTACATAATGAGGTTGACAGCAGTTATAACGTCAAACCTGCAAAATTTGAACTTTCAAAGTTTCAAAATGGCTTAGTAATTTAGGTTTGAATAGATTAAGACAGGATCGGCATTGTTCAAAAAAGGGACGTTTTGGAATAGGTGGTGCAGAGAGCAGTGATAAAATTCTGCGTAGACATCGGAAAAACACATACAGAGACCCATAGATTCTGTAAACAATCGGAAAAACATAATAAAAGAAGCCGTTCATTAGTATTTAAGTGGAATATAATATTTTCGGAGTGATGGAACAGTCAACAGGATCACATGCGTGAAGGAAAACCATTATTCAGAGATTGCAGTGCTGTAAGTTATGAATTTCGTAACGTGACTTTGCCGTATTTCCGTAAATAAAATCGTTTTACGCGGACAGTGGTTGGATTATTTGCAGGCTATGAGACAAGAATTGTTAAGTATTATATACGTATGAAACCTGAATATTTTGTGCATATTTTTATGACTGGTTAAAGAGATATGATATGTCTTGAGTTAAACGGTGACTATGTTGAGAAAAGTGACGTATACTCATATTAAGGATTTAAATGTATAACAGGGCACTTCCGGTAAAAATGACGGCATTTAATATTTACCTAATATTATAGTATGTCATATATCAAAATTCCATTAAAAAAACAACTAACAGGTCAAAATTTGCATATGTGAACAATCAGCTTATATAAGGACGTTTAGGATTACATGTTGCATAAATAAATTATAACGTTGTCTCTTAACGCTATTTGTATTTGTACAGAATGTTTTTGAAGCATGCACCGAGTTTGGAGACAGTCACCTTCAGTCCTTCCCCGATATGCTGATTTTACCTGCATCTTTTATACACAAGGAGAAAGAAAGAATGGTAACTTCTTATTAACAAGAGTCCCAGGGGCCACATCGCTCACCTGAGCACTGTGGCTAGGAAAAAGTAGAAATTGGTTTATTATTGAAAAGTTTAAATCCAAAAGTAGTCCCATGACCAATCATGGCTTTGCTATTCTTGAGAAGAAGATTTTTAAAGAATTTTCCTATATATTTCTATGTAAAACTTTGGGTGGCCATTTTCGGCCCCGCCCTACCCCTGGGGGTCATGATTTGAACAAACTTTAATCTACACTACCGTAGGATGCTTGCATATAAATATGATCAATTATGGCTTTGTTATTCTTGAGAAGAAGATTTTTAAAGAATTTTCCTATATATTTCTATGTAAAATTTTGATCGACCATTGTGGCCCCGCCTACCCCCGGGGGTCATGATTTGAACAAACTTGAATCTACACTACCTGAGTATGCTTCCATATAAGTCTCATCCTTTCTGGCACAGTGGTTCTTGAGAAGAAGATTTTTAAAGAATTTTCCTATATATTTCTATGTAAAACTTTGGTCGGCCATTGTGGCCCCGCCCTACCCCCAGGGGTCATGATTTGAACAAACTTGAATCTACACTACCGTAGGATGCTTGCATATAAATATGATCAATTATAGGTTTGTTTTTCTTGAGAAGAAGATTTTTAAAGAATTTTCCTATATATTTCTATGTAAAAGTTTGGTCGGCCATTGTGGCCCTGCCCTACCCCCGGGTGTCATGATTTGAACAAACTTTAATCTACACTACCGTAGGATGCTTGCATATAAATATGATCAATTATGGCTTTGTTATTCTTGAGAAGAAGATTTTTAAAGAATTTTCCTATATATTTCTATGTAAAGCTTTCGTCGGCCATTGTGACCCCCCTACCCCCAGGGGTCATGATTTGAACAAATTTCAATTTACACTACCTGAGGATGCTTCCATATAAGTTTCATCCTTTCTGGCACAGTGGTTCTTGAGAAGAAGATTTTTAAATAATTTTCCTGTATATTTCTATGTAAAACTTTGGTCGGCCATTGTGGCCCCGCCCTACCCCCAGGGGTCATGATTTGAACAAACTTTAATCTACACTACCTGAGGATGCTTCCATATAAATATGATCAATTATAGGTTTGTTTTTCTTGAGAAGAAGATTTTTTAAGAATTTTCCTATTTATTTCTATGTAAAAGTTTGGTCGGCCATTGTGACCCCGCCCTACCCCCAGGGGTCATGATTTGAACAAACTTGAATCTACACTACCTGAGGATGCTTCCATATAAATATGATCAATTATAAGTTTGTTTTTCTTGAGAAGAAGATTTTTAAAGAATTTTCCTATATATTTCTATGTAAAACTTTGGTCGGCCATTGTGGCCCTGCCCTACCCCCGGGGGTCAAGGTTTGAAGAAACTTGAATCTACACTACCCGAGGATGCTTCCATATAAGTTTCATCCTTTCTGGCACAGTGGTTCTTGAGAAGAAGATTTTTAAAGAATTTTCCTATATATTTCTATGTAAAACTTTGGTCGGCCATTGTGGCTCCGCCCTACCCCCGGGGGTCATGATTTGAACAAACTTGAATCTACACTACCTGAGGATGCTTCCATATAAATATGATCAATTATGGCTTTCTTATTCTTGAGTAGAAGATTTTTAAAGAATTTTTCCTATATATTTCTATGTAAAACTTTGGTCGGCCATTGTGGCCCCGCCCTACCCCCGGGGGTCATGATTTGAACAAACTTGAATCTACACTACCTGAGGATGCTTCCATATTAGTTTCATCTTTCCTGGCACAGTGGTTCTTGAGAAGAAGATTTTTAAAACATGCCACCAAATTTTTATTAATTCCCAATTATCTCCCCTTAAATGAGGGCGTGGCCCTTCATTTGAACAATCTTGAATCCCTTTCACCCAAGGATGCTTTGTAACAAGTTTGGTTGAAATTGGCCCAGCGGTTCTTGAGAAGAAGTCGAAAATGTGAAAAGTTTACAGACAGACAGACAGACGGACTACAGACAAAATGTGATCAGAAAAGCTCACTTGAGCCTTCGGCTCAGGTGAGCTAAAAATGGTATCAATCAAATACATTTGAGAAAATAATCTGGTTCCACAATTGTTTTTCATGTTTTTCTTAGTTTTTATTTCTTTAAATCTTTCCAATATGTTATATCAATATTTTTTCTTTCCAATATTTTAGGTCAATGTCAAGGACCTATCTTCTGAAATGCTTAAACCAATGAAAGATTTTCGAAAATCACACGCAAAACATGCAATAAACCATTTGCAAAAGGTATGTAAAAAGCATTTTTTAAACTATTTATTATATAGTTATGATACTGTTAAAAATAACAAATACTGATTAAATTGAAGAAATTGCAATGCCAATAGGACAAAGATTTAAAGCGTAAATCGTATCTGAACAGTAACAGATTTACCAGAAAAAATACCTTTATTTGCAAATGAAGTTTTGAGTATGTATTATGGTGTCATTTTGTAAAAGGTGGTTGAAATCAGGAATTTTTCTTTTACTTTTTCTCATTGCCACCTTTTCCTTCACATTTAAGCGTAAATATTTTTATTGTCACAGAATCTTGAAAATAAATATGCAAAGACATACAGTACCTGGCCATAAGTCTGTCATAAAAATGGCTGCTGAAATATCAAAATTCAGGAAGCCATTTTTTTTTTCTTTAGCGCTGGTAAATAAATCGCTCTATGCAAGCTGCTGTTGAATAGTTCCTTTCTATAGAGTGTATACAATAATTCTATGACGTCATTTTATAAAAGTGACGCAATATCTGTCAAATATTTAGCAACTGACAAGATGGCTACTAAAGGTAAACAAATGTCTACCCCTATGAAAAATGCGATAATAACTATGTCTGAGAGTGGATACACCCAACAGGACATAGCAGCTATTCTTTCTGTGAGCCAGTCTGGGATTTCCAAGTTTCTCAAGCGATACAAGACGCGCGGATCCAGCGAAAATAAGCATCGAAGCGGTCGACCTAGAAAAACTGATGTCCGAGGAGATCGTAAGATACTTCGATGTGTGAAACTCAACAGACGGCAAACTTTGGGTGAAATAACTGATGAAGTGAACTCGAAGTTACCAAGTTCTATCTCTTCACGGACGGTAAGAAGACGTTTGCGATTTTTAAACTTTACAAGAAGGAAAACCAGGAAGACCCTTACAATTCGATCTGTAAACCGCACCCGCCGTGTAAATTGGTGTCGAGGGAAATTACATTGGACAGTGAATAATAATTGGAAAAAGGTGATTTTCAGCGACGAAACCCAGGTTGTGATTGACCAGAATAAGCGCGTTTACATCTGGAGAAGACCCGACGAAGTATGGCGACCAGAGTGTCTTGGCGTCCGTGGAAACGGAAAGTACTCGGCGATGTTTTGGGGGTGTATTACTCACGAAGGAATCGGAACATTTACAGAGGTAGATGGGAATATTAATTCCCAAAAATACATTAACATTTTGGATACAAATTTATGGCCAGTTATTTTGCGCCATTTCCCGAATGGTGACTATTTATTTCAGGATGATAATGCACCGGTCCACTCCTCTAACGCAACAAAATCATGGAAAACTGAAAACGATATTAAATGTCTTATTTGGCCATCACAATCTCCAGATATCAATGTAATTGAAAACGTGTGGAGAACCATAAAAATACGTCTTCAGAGACAGGTACACAATATTCATAATCGTGAAGACCTCATCTTGAAAGTAAAGGAAATATGGTGGTCCTTGCCTCAGCACTACATTCAGAGTCTGTATGCTTCAATTCCAAGGCGAATTCGACAAGTTATTAAATCTAAGGGTCATGCAACTAAATACTAGAGATAAAAAGGTAAGTGCTTAATATTTATAGAATTTTTTTTATTTTTGAATTTTGCGTTCACGTTGTTCACGTTACGTTACGTCAGCCATTTTATGACAGACTTATGGCCAGGTACTGTATGTCTGTTTCGTGCTTACGCTAGAATTTCCCAGTTGTCATGTTGTTTTATAATGCCAAGTTTTAATCACTGAAATTAAAACGTAATACATGTTTGGCTTTGAAAACTTATTCATTTTCTTATTTATTAGTTTTTTGCTACTGAGGAGGGAAAATCAAAATTGAAGATAAAGAAAAAAGTATTCAAAACCTGTGAAGAATACATTAATAAGTGCATAGAACTATGCTGGATGATGCGCATTCAAGATCCACCAATTTACATGGAAACAGAATACCCGACAAATTCAGATTTTGACTCAAACAAAATGCGATCGTACACGAAAGCGGGGAAATTCATATACTTTGTTGTATGGCCTACCTTCTTCCTGCACAAGGATGGTCCACTATTGGCAAAAGGGGTAGTGCAAGGGAGCAAAATAGAAATAAAAGATGGAAAAGAAACCAATGGCAACAAAGAATACAGTTCGTCAAGCTCTGACTCTGACGGTGATGAATTTACTGACGCCCGGTCAAGAACAGATTCACATGCAGCAGGAGATAATCCTAACGAAACCACCTCTCAGGTTGAAGTCAGAGATGTACCAGAACCAAATCAGCCAGAAAATAAAGAAATGCCACAAGAAGGAGACGGAACATCTAACAATGGCACAAATGACACACAAGGGGGACCAAATGGTACTCATGATACCCCAGAGGAGAAACCAAAAAACAGCGATGAAAAACCAGACCCAAATAACACCGACAGCAAACCAGTATAAGCAAATAATACTGACGACAAAGCAACTGAAACAAATAAAACAGACGTCAAAACAGAAGAAGCAAATAACGATAGGCATATCAACCAATCAAAACCGCCAGGAAGTGAAGCAAATGATCATAAGGAAGCAGATAATTTAGACGACACGAAGGGAGAAGAAAGCGGGGAAAGGGCTGATGAGCAGAAAGTCGACGACAAAAGTCAAAGTCAAGGAGAAGAAACAGATATATAGGTGACTTACTACGCGGACTTTATATCTTATGTCTGTGTACCTTATATCTAAAACAAATACTTTATTTACCAAAGAGTAGCTTGTATCTTCTTGATTTAATTTCGTTGTGAATTACTGTTAATTTGAAATTATTTGAAAAATGATTCCGAGACTGGTAACCAATAAATTATTTTATATAATTAATTGATAATCAACACGTTCTACTTAATTGTTTATTCGATATTTACTTTCGAGATTTGACTACCCAGTAATTCAGAATTATAATCGTGTATTTCGTTGTGAATTTAGCATATCATTCCTTGTCTGTTGATGGTTGTCTTACTTCTATATTGCAAGTCATTATTTTGCTTTTACAATATATAGAAAAATTCCAATGCGAAGGTTGTAATCGTAATATTTGAATACAATTTATTATCATTTATTATTAACATAACTCTCTGTATTGTAGAGAATATGATACTTTTGAAATAAAGAGACATTTGTATAGAATTAAATTTTGAAAATTTGGATACTGAAAAAGCTAAAAAGAAATTTCAGCAAATTTGATATCGCAAAAAAATTACTAGATCAAGCCAAGTGAGAACAGAAGACCTTTCAAAACATCATAAAACTTTATTGCATAATAATTTTTTTTTAAAAGGCCAACTTAAATATAGGTAGCTTCCTCTCCAATAACAATAATTCAATCTGAATTTACATCTTTTCTTTTCGAAATTATATTGTTTAAATACATTAAGTCTCAGACACTGCATACAATAAATTTCACACGGGGCCTCAGTTTTTAAGGTCTCACCCAAAGGACCGGCAGCGTTCACTTAAAAAAGACGAGCGTCTAGGGAAGGAACAGTTGCTACGTATTGTTTATCGACTTAGGTTGGTATTTGCCAAGATTTGAACTCAGTGCCTTCCGACCAGGGAGCAAGCGTTCTACCCTAGGCCCCTGATCCTACTCCTGGTATTCTCTAGGATCCATGTTAATACCAGGTGTTCACACATCTGTATTGTTTGTTGCAATGCCTGGGATCAATCACTGTGTTCTCTTAATCTTTTCATCTGTCTGAACGAGCATATTTATTCGGTTATCACCACCACCTTTCAACTGACAACTGAGAGACATGTAGTGTAAATACGGAGCCAAGTAATAATTTAAGGTATTCAATCCCTAATAGGAACAATTTCATAGAAATTGAATACATAACAGATGTGTAGGCATTGAATACTGTAAATCACTTTTTATTCGCGAGAACTTTATTTTCGCGTAATTACGCGAGACATTGAGCACGCGAAAATTTCATTCTCGCGTATAATAGTATTCCTTATGATTATATAGAGAAGTATTAACAATTCGTGAAAATTACGTCTCGCTGATAAAGTGTCAATGACTATCTCGCGAAAATAAGGTGTCGCGAAAATTTAATGATCTACAGTACTCAGTTTATTCAGACATACTTCCCATTTATTACTACATGTATTAGTATGCATAGTGGGATGTGTCCTAATTTATGACCCTGAATTTTGGTAAGAGTTATCTCCCCTATTTTTAATTAATAAAAAAAAATGAATTAAAAAAATTTTAGCTGGTAAAAAAATTGTTCTCAATTGTCATTCTATTTCTAATAATTCAGTGCATCTTTCCACCACAGGATTTATGGATATTCAAATTATTTGAATTTTTATTTTGAAAAAACGCTTTTTCCCATAGCCTTCAATGCAATCTTAATTAACTACTGCTTAATTAATGACATTTTTGAATCTTTCTCGCGGGCAATCCTTTTCCACTATAAAATGGTTTAATATGAAATCAGAGTATTATGTACTTGACGGACATTTAAGGTTAGAGAATTCTGTCCCATTAGGGATGGAAATCCTTAATACATGCATAAGTATATATTAACGATTGTGAAAAGGGAAATTAAAATGACAGGGAATTGAAAATCATTTAAACCTAATCCGAGATTTCTCTGACTCCAACCCCTGCTATTATATTGCGACTCCCCTGCACAAGTCACAATGTAAATTAAAGCAAGGGTTAGAGTTAGAGGAATCTCGGATTAATTTAAACAATACTCCAGTTCGTAAAAACAGGTTTTAACTAGATGCTGGCAGTTATACGCGCACTAAGGTGTTTGCCTCTAAATACAAACTCCTTCATATTGAGTTTTCGAGGAAAAAGTCAAAATAATTTGATAATTTACACATGTATTCGTCTTGAGCATAAAATTCTCAGGTGACCATAAGCATACATTGCCCTTAAGGGCTTCCATAAAATAAAAAAATGCGTGTAAACCAGTAAACAAAACTGCTCATCTCAATCAAACAAAGGCGCAATAATATTTTTAATTGGCCCTAAGTTTTAATGAGGAATTAAAATATTAATTTTTTTTTTACAATAGATATCAATTAATCAACGTTCGCGGGCATTATTTTCTCCTGTTCCGTCCGCGTAATCAAGTTCAAACCGAAAGTAGTATACACTTACAGTATAATACACACCGATTTTACCGCCTTGTAATGCCGAAGAGGAAATCTAATGAGGAGTGGGGAGATTCAGACAGGCCTAGGAAGAGGTTATCAAAAGGGTACGTAAATCATACATTGTTCTCATAATCTCTTTTCTAGAGAATAAGCAAATCATATAATGACATTCATGAAACAATTGTACTTTGTATTCTCCGATCTGATCAATACACACCAAGTGATGGTTATAAATTGCATGTATGCATATAGTTGGCAATTATGTTCTAATGAATAAAGGACTTTTATGTAACTATTGCACTATGTGCTAGTAACGTGCTAAACATTTTTAGCTCACCTCAACGAAGTTGGGGAGAGCTTATGTAATACCCTCAACGTCGGTGTCCCAGGTTAAGGTTTTTGAAGTTCATGAAAAGCCACCTATTTACAAAAATCTTAATATCAGGTGACTGTTTTGGCCAAAACATATGCCTGGTCGGAATTGAGTTTGTTTTTAAGGACATGATTGTGCCCACTAATCGGACATGGTGAATGGGAGCCTTAAGCTTGTAGTGCATCTTGTCAGACGAAAACAATTTTTCAGGAAATGATTTTGCTACAACCATCACAATTGTTCTTTAAAGAGGACACCAACATGTTTGTATTAATATCGCTATTAATCAAATCTCCACAGTCAGTGTGCCGACTCCATCCGGGTATCACGACTGGTTTAGGCGACGCGCATGCTGGGGATGATGCATGCTAGTATTTTCCTCCAATTTTTCTACTAATAAATTCTGTACACTCGGTTGTTTCGGCCTAAAGCAACTTTCCATACATCATAAAATATACTTTTGAAAAGTTATTCAACAGTCTACAGTCATTTGCCTCGTGCCGAGCCAAACAATTTTTTTCTGTACACTTGATGGTAGTTTAATTTTTTTGACAAAAAGCAGTGTCGGTGATATTGCTTTGAGACACAGGAAACTTCCTTAGTACCTTTATTAATTGTTCTATTGTTACAAGGCGCAGAGGTTGGTATCCATCTTGGATGTTCATTTTAACAGGGATGCCCCAATCTTAAGCATTTTCTGTACTTCGGACCCCCTTATTTCACACCATTTGCAAAGGCTTACACAGTTTCCGGTCTTTTTTTGATAATTTTCTATCTGACTTTAGCTGTCTACGTCGGGCGATAATTTGTTTCGTGGCGGGTAGTACCTTTTTAGACTTTTCCAAAGCTCCACTCAGTCGCTTTTATCAGACGACCATGTATAATAACAAGCACCCACACATGACGTTTAAATATGACGCCACAGACACCATGCTTACATATGACATGTAAAGGGGATTCTCCTTATCTACATGTAGATTCTATTTTTTGTAATATATGTTGGCTTCATGATGAAGCATTCAATAATTTCAAATGCTAAAGAAAAGTTACACAATTCTCCTCAGAGAAGATATGATGCTTGCATTGTGAATTTGTCTACGTAAACCGTTTCTTATCGTGTAAATAATGTGTAATACTATGAAATAATAAGGAAAATAAATCTTACCTTAGTATTTGGTCATATAACCTTTTGATCTTATCATTTTTAGCCTCAGAGAAGGCAAGGATCTGTAGAGGCTCCGTATGTAAGCTACAGGCTCCAAGCCAGTAACGTTGTTTATGTTTTAAAACATGCGTTTCGGTTTAGTTTATTTTCAAGAGAAACCAAATACATGTATATTCAATAATGTTTGCATCAGATGACTGTGCTGGCCAAATCATAACTGGAATTGAATTTCTTTGCTTATATGCTTGAACAATATTTGGCCACGGTGAACCGGAGCGTTGTCATCTTGAAAAACGTAATCGTTATAAAGGGAAATATTTTGCTACAACCGGCCACAATTGTTCTTAAAGGATGTCAATATATTTGTTTGCATTAATGTTGTCATTAACCACAGTCAGTGTACCAATTCCTTCCCAGGTGATGCATCCCCACAACATTAAACTCAAGACAGGTTTCGGCAGTTGATGCATACTAGTACTCTTCAACTGCCTTTCTCCAAATATGCACTGTTTGGCCTAAAACAACTTTGCATTCGACAAAAAATATGAATTTTGACCAACAGTCCACAGTTGTTTGCCTCTCGTCCATGCCACACGGTTTTTAGCTCTACTGGTCAGAGACCAGAAGAGCTTATGCGATAGTAATGCGTCCGGCGTCCGTCCGTCCGTCCGTCTGTCTGTAAACAATTTTTCAAAATGCTACTCCTCCTACAGTTTTGGTCTAATTTCAGTATAATTTGGCACACAAGTAGACTACACTAAGATACATAATTCTGTGTATCGGTTTTTGATTTCGATGAACGGTGTTGCCGTGGTTACTAAAAATAGAAATTTCTGTGAAATTCTTTCAAAATGCTACTCCTCCTACAGTTTTGGTCTGATTTCAGTATAACTTGGCACACAAGTAGACTACACTAAGATACATAATTCTGTATATCGGTTTTTGATTTTGATGAACGGTGTTGCCGTGGTTACTAAAAATAGAAATTTCTGTGAAATTCTTTCAAAATGCTACTCCTCCTACAGTTTTGGTCTGATTTCAGTATAACTTGGCACACAAGTAGAATACACTAAGATACATAATTCTGTGTATCGGTTTTTGATTTCGATGAAAGGTGTTGCCGTGGTTACTAAAAATAGAAATTTCTGTGAAATTCTTTCAAAATGCTACTCTTCCTACAGTTTTGATTTGATTTTAGTATAACTTGGCACACAAGTAGAATACACTAAGATACCTAATTCTCTTTATCGGTTTTTGATTTTGATGAACGGTGTTGCCGTGGTTACTAAAAATAGAAAGAACTTTATTCGGTAATAACCAATATTTGCCCCCCAAATCAAACTTTGATGGAGATATATTTAATTAAGTTCTTAAACAGGGGAGTATATGCTGACTTCAAAACACTGAATATTTTCATAAGTAATGACGCCATATGTACGTAATGACGTCACAAACATGACGTAAATTTCAGTTTTTTATGAATTTTACAGAAAAATGTACATATTTCGTCGATATTTTGAGTAAAAGTCACCGAGCGCATGTGTGTTCAGGATCAATATTTTGATAGAATGTGTAGAATGATAATATCAATGAAATATGTAAATATTGTTCCTGAACAAACTTGCGCTCTATAAATTTAAAAGCTAAAATTGTTGAAATTTTGTCCATTTTGTCCTCTTTCTGAAAAAGGATATAAAATCGGACTAGTTTGTGACGTCATAAAAGCAAAAATTGTGAATACACTGCTTTGACACTATAATATTTTGTGTTAATTTATATTTCTCATACAATATATTGAATTCAGCACATTTCAGGAAGTTTTCAAAATTTGACTTTTGTGGGGGCAAATATATGCAATATACCGCATATAGTTCTTTCTGTGAAATTCTTTCAAAATGCTACTCCTCCTACAGTTTTGGTCTGATTTCAGTATAACTTGGCACACAAGTAGACTACACTAAGATACATAAATCTGTGTATTGGTTTTTGATTTTGATGAACGGTGTTGCCGTGGTTACTAAAAATAGAAATATCTGTAAAATTGTTTCAAAATGCTACTCCTCCTACAGTTTTGGTCTGATTTCAATATAACTTGGCACACAAGTAGACTACACTAAGAACATAAAGAGACTTTATCAACAATCATTATTCTATTTATTGCTGTTGTAAAGTTTCAAATCCCAGCTGCTTAAGTACTCTTCCTTTGCTATAAGTTCAAACCAGTAGAGCTCCAGTCTCGACAGAGACTTCTGGTTTCTGTTTTTATCTCTTATCCGAATTTTCTTCCTGCACACACGTCGGTTGTTATTATTTTTAGACAAATACACAATGAATTGATCTTTTAGACACAGCGAACATCCTACCTTGGTTGAACTGTCCTGTTATATCCTTTAATAGAGTGGTACTGTAGGATTAGCCTTTACAAGCCTCAGAAGATAGCGTTCGCCTCGAACGTCAATTTTTCTGAGACCCCCTTTTTTAACCATTTTCTGTGCTTCTCCTCATTATACAACAGCATAACCAGTCCCCAGTCTACTTTCAATAATCTTGCAGTTTCAGAACAATAATTTCCTGTCTTTCTGTAGCTGTCTTCGATAACTTGTTTCACAGCGGGTAATAAATGTTTAGACTTTCCCATTGATGCATCCAGGCACTTGTATCAGGCGACCATTTGACAAATACCCACATATGACGTCAAATATGACGACGAACGACACCATGCTTACGTATGACATGCAAAGGGGATTCCCATTATCTGTATGTAGAATCTACTAAAGGAAAAATACACCGCTTTGTGAATTTACAGAATCAGATCCGTCATTTTGTTTATAAACTTTTGGCAGTTGGCTGTAGTTTCGCAGAATTTACTATGCAACATTAATGTTAGCCATTTGGTGTCGGTGCCATTTTCCAAATATGTGAACGTCGAAGACATTATTGAAGATTCCTAGTCAAATGATCCAGTAGCATTTTTTTCTTTTGTTTTTGTTTTGTTTTTCCTTTTTTTTTTTTTTGCTATATTTTTAAAAAATATTATTGTTGTTTCAGCACAACTGTAGAGGATGCACTGATCAATATAGAGGAACAGGTAAAAGTGGTCAGACAAGAAATTCAAAATCAAGAAAGCATCCAGGGTCTACACGAAACCATTGATCAACTGCAGAGAAAACTGGAAGCAGAAAGAAGTGCTAAATCAGAGGCGCTTAAGGCTAAAGAAGAGGCTTTAAATCGGTTAATATGATAAGATGAATTTTCAGGAAAAAAACATAATTTCAATAAAATGACTGTTTTAATGTTTAATGAAAAAAAAATGTTTATTTTACAGATTGAGCTCTGTAGCTGCAAATCGACTTCGAGATAATAACCCTGGTATTACTGACCTCAGTGATCCAAATCGACCGATCAAATTAGGAGAAAAAGCGTCTGAAATTTACGACAATGAGTGGACAAATGCTTTAGAAAATCTAGAAGAGTTACGAAAGGCAAATGAAACTGCTTACGATGAAGAGAAAGAAGAGAAAGACGTCGTGTTACTTCTGAGTATTCTAACAGTAGGCACATTCTCACCTCATTAGAAGTAGAATTCTTGTTCCTTTGTAATATGTGTTTCAATTCTATTTTTCATTGAGATATTTTTGTGTATCATTTTTTGCAGGACATATTTCAGATGTGTAAAGCCGATGCCTTGGAACATATTGAGAACATTTCTCGAGTGCTTCTCACGCCATCTTTTGTGAAAATTAAAGTATATTTTAATCTTTTTTACGATAAGAACATATGATTTTTAATTTCAATTTAAAGTCGCTTTGGGGGAAAATGAAACTATAATGAATACACTTTTAAAGTAAGTCAAGTTTAGGGATGTTTCGGATTAATATTAAACAAGTACAATTTTGGATAAAAGATAAATTCCTTTGATTTAGTCGGAAAATTTAAATATGTACATATAAATGGGCTGAATTAAATTGGGTTTTATTAACACTTCATAAGATTTTTTATGTATTTGTTTTTTTTTTCAAACTTATTGCAGCACAAACCAAAAGTTCCCTTGGCGTTTTTGAAAGAAATCAAAGATTTTCGAAAACAGCATTGCACAGAATCGATTCTTCAAAGCTTAACGGAGGTAAAATATTTTTTTAAGTTAAAACAAACACAGATCCATTCTTTGTATTAAATCGACAGTATATAAACATGTATCAAATATTCATAAGATGTTTAGTGATCATATTTGACTGAGAACCATTAAAAGAATGTGTATTCATAGATAAACTCTCTGTTTCGGTTTCAGCACTATGTGGAAAAGCTCCCAGAACAAAATCCAGAACAGCTAACTCCAGAGGTGATTAAAGCGTGCCAGGAGTATATCCACAAATGTGTAGAACTGTCTTGGTTGATGTCAATACAAGATCCGCCTATGTGTTTAGAGTGGCAATTCAAGGGTGGCGATTTCAGATCGGATACAATGCGATCTTTTACAAAGAGCGGAGATAAAGTCCAGTTCGTCGTGTGGCCCGCGATGTATCTTCATGATGGCGGACCTTTGGTTACCAAAGCAATCGTTCAAGGCATGAAAATGGGAAAGAAGAAAAGACAAAAAAATTAGTTTTATTGAATCTGAAGGCATCGAAAGAAATTAATATAAGATTTTCATCGCAACAAGTTATTTGTGTTAAAACTTATATATTTTTCATATAGAACTCATGAAAGTTTTAATGGAATAAGGTACTGTTAGATTGTAATAATATAGTTTTAATCAAATTAATTATGTTTAAGAAGTTATTAAATTAATTTTACTGATACTCGACTCCATTTCTTTTTTTTTTTTTAGAACTTTAAGTACTAGCATGCAGTCCTCTTGATAATGTAATTATGATGCAAACTCTTAATTATAACAGTTGAAACTGAGACAAGGAAAGTCAACAAATGGAGAATTAGAAATGTTACTTCTATTTCTTGATATATTGGCATTATTATCATGAAAATTGTACCTCTACCAAAATTGTAAAACTCGTGACTTCAAGGTTAAGAGTTCTAGTGATAGGCATGGCTCAATAGTTTAGAAATTATAATCCTAAAGAGTTTTCTTCAATTCCCTTAAAAAATGTATCAGCCAATATTAAGAGCATAGGAATGATGAGAGATGCACCTCCTCAAATATAATTTTGAAATTTCGAGGCCCATGGATGAAGGGTTTGAACCCCTATTGGTCAAAAAGTGAAGAAATTGGTTGATTCTTTGCAAACCTTCTTTCTCCGCTAAAGGAAACTGAGTGAATGGTTATGGTAAGCAAGTCTATGTTCCAATATTATTGTTTATTAAATACATGGCCCCTGACTCTTGGCTCTGGAATAAAGGTGGGGTTCTATTGATCATGTAAACAAAAAATTCATGTAATATGCGTGAAATCTTATTAAGCAGAAAACAAATGCATAGATAGATATGATAAGCAAGACTGCCTCATCCCAATATTTGAACTTAGGGCAGTACTCTATTAATCACATAGCGAAAATGCACAATTTATTACATTAAGCGATTTCTCTCTCCTGGGTGCTTAGCAGACTAAGTGCTTGGTTATGATGAGCAAAAGTACTTCTTCCAAAATATAAGATTCCAAGTTCCATTATCAGAGATTCTGGAATTAGGGTGGAGGTGGTTATTGTTCATATAAAGAAAATACGTTGCTTTTTAGAACTATTTTCTCATCTCAAATGTATTTTGCAGTGAATATTTATGATGAGCAGTAGTTGTTGATTCATTGCGCTGGATAAGGGTTATATAAATGGTGTGGGGCTCCATGATGATCAAGTATGATAAAGGAGGTGCCCAATATAAATAATACAGAAAATGAGATCCTGATACCACCAGCCATAGATGCATTGGACATTAATACAATTCCACCCAGTGTAGAAGAGGTGAAAAAGGCTATCGGGAATTTTAAAAAAGGAAAGGCTACTCGTATCTATCAGATAAATGCAGAGCTTTTCAAGCCCGAAGAATACTGGACACCTACCTTGTTGACAAATATTCTACAGAAGATATCGGAATCAGAAGAGACACATACTTTCTGGAGAACTGGTCTTATAGTAAAACTGCCAAAAAGGAGTCCTTTCATACTGTAAGAGGGATAATGTGCAAGAACATGTTCTACGTATGAACAATTTCTAAAACGAGGTAAATTATTGACAAGCAAGTTGATGAAACAAGAATATCAGCAGTCTCGTTTAAGTCATCATTTCGTAAGTTCTATGGTTAATACAATGACCTTGTCAGCAAATACAATTATATCATTGAGTCAAATGCTGACTGACGTTTTTCATACTAATTGTTAGTCCATTATTTATACACTGAATTGACGACGGATTTTTCCGTTATTTCCGGATCATGACAAGGAGCAAACGGCGGGTGTGACCGGTCAGCAGGGAATGCTCACTCCTCCATGGCACATGATCCCACCTCTGATACTTTGGAGGTTCGTGTTTGCTCTGCTCCTATTTTGTATTGTTTTATGGACTTTGATATTGAATACTTTTCGTTATCTTCATATCCTTCCTTGCTCTCGGGATTCATGAAAGTGCTAAGCAGAGTGATACTGAACAGAATCAGAGACAAATCCTCCACTATGGAAATAACAAGCAGGTTTTAAAAAGGGAGGATAGGACGTCTCTTAGAGGGCATCACTAAAATACGCGGCATTTTTCAAAAAAAAGACTAATATTGTTTTCTTTTCAATGTCCATCAAATTGTGTTAATAAAATTAACCAGCATATTCAATGTATATGAAAAAATTTGTTGTAATTCAATATTCATTACAAAAGTTTTTACACGATCATAAAAGGGTATCATAAATTCTGGAATACCCTGAATATAGCGACGGTCAGTAATGTTATCATACTAAAAATACTAAGAAAATATTAAGGTACTCCGATCCTCAGTCAGAAAGGATAACTCTTAAATTTAAAGTTTTAATTCAAAAAGTCTCTAAATAAAGCTTGAAAATGAAATATTTTCATGCAACAACTTTCATTTGATACCTCTCAGTGTGCTTCAAGATTCTTTGAAGTTCCCAGAAAGCTCTTATAAAAAATCGAAAATTTTATCCCATAAAAGTATCTTAAAGTTACATATTTAAAGAAATTAAGGTTTTTTTGAACTATCCAAAGATATCAATGTTTATTATCATGATACTAGCATTAAATTAGAAGTGATTTATGGTGTTTTGCATTGATAGGAAAATCTTTATACGCTATACATTGTAAAATGAGCTAAGTAAATACCGATAGAAGAAACTTAAGTGCCTTATCTGTATAAAAATTGGGCAATTTCTTCAAACAGACTTGATACCTATGCCTTTTATTTCTGAAATATGTTTTTATTCGCATCCTTAAAAATTATTTGAGATTTACTCATTTCCCCTATATAATATGATTAACTTTATTTAAAGATGGAGTTTGAAGAGTTGTCGTGGGTAAAAACACAATACTTTGAGAATTCAGAGACATTTTTGTGAGAATTTTCATTTAGTTAATAACCTGATTTTCAGAATCTGAAGATCGGAGTACCTTAACTTCAAGCCTGTGCCCAAGCATTAATGAAGGATATAAGTAATGTATGATATTAGTATTTTTTGTCGTTCTGGGTGTTTTGAGTGTTTGAAGCATTTTCCCCATAGCTGTCGGGTTTATTGATTGTTCTGAATGATTTCTACACTCGGATTTCAGTCAAAGATTTATTTTTGATAATTTATGAAAAAAGTCATATTTCAGATTGATATTTTGGTGTGGTTTTTTCTTGTATAAATAAGGTTGTTTCAAACAAAAAATGGAATAAAATGTTCGTTATTCGACCATGATTTAAATGTTTATGGATATAGCCTTATATCGACCGCTACCTTTCTAATCACCGTAGCCGAGATAAAAATAGAACAAAAATCCGTCGCTCATAAAAGAAAAGGAAACAAGTTAACTTCCTGAGGATGGAAAAGTCTGGGAAGAGAGGGTTTTTCAGAAGAAGCCATTCCCTTCCGAGCACTAAAGTGAAGAAAGGCCAGCGCCGACAGCAGCCTATTGAAGAAAGGTAAACACAAAGATAATGCATTTGATACATTTATTACTATTTATTATCAAAACGAAAGTAGAATTCGTCTTGTTATATATACTTTAGTTTATTTATTATTTTCCCATATTTTTGGTCAGAAACATTTACCTATGCTAGAAAAAAAATGACTATGAATATTTTATCTGTATATATAGAACATTTCATTAATGAGCGATGTTTACAAAGTGTATCATCATCTCAATATCTGGCCGGGATCCTGGATCCTGGGTCCACTAGTGGTCGTGAGACCAGAGCGACTCATGGACTCAGGAACCCTGTCATCATGAGGATGATCCCTTTGTAGACATTGTATGTAGCCAGTTTACAACAATTCCGGTTGCCGCATCTTACATGTCGTGATGTCTGTCATAGGCGTAGTCACAGGGGGGGCAGCGGGGGCACTAGCCCCCCCACTTTCAGATGTGGGGGGGCAAGAGTATGTCTGTGCCCCCCCACTTTTTAAAAGAAGAACAAAATCACAGCTATTTTCCCCAACATTACCTTTACTATTGGAAATATTCATTGAATGGATTTCAAAATAACTTGCCTTTGAAAAAGTTGGCCTCTACCCCCCCCCCCCCCCCCACGAAATAGGTTTTTCGAGTTTGGGGAACTTTCCCTTTTTTTTTTTTTTTTTTTTTTTTTTTTTTTTTTTTTTTTTTTGTTGTCAAAGAATTTCTGGAGTTGAGCCCCCCACTTTTAAGTTTGGTTTTTTTTTTCAAAGAATTTGTGGAGTTGAGCCCCCCCACTTTTAAGTTTGTGACTACGCCGCTGTCTGTTGAATGGCGTGGACACCTAGAGAAAAATTTTACATTTGTAAATCTAGAGTCACGTTCTTAAGTAGTAAAAAACCCCAAAATTATTAATTTTTACAAACCTATTAAAAAACCCTCACAGAAACCACTCTGATCGCAAAAATGCTATTTATTGCTTACCTGCTTGGAATATCAAGCATCGTATAATGCTCTAAGAATTAATTAAAAGATTAAGAAAATTTTAAATGAAGAGAGTCTTTTTTTTTTTACATGCAGTCAGGATGAAGCTAACCCAGAGGAGGTACATGAAGTATTACGTAATATCAAAATTTTGGCCATCAGTGCTAAGAAGTATTTTAAAAAGAGGGGAGTCTACCGCTATTACTGCGAGGAATTGATTGACAGGTGGATTCCAGACCTTAAAAGGGTTGGTTTGCAATTTATTCACACATATAAAAAGAGATAAAAATACAAAATCTTTCAAGGACTCTTTTTCAGTTAACAAATACGTAATTACTAATTAAACTATTGTTCATTAACACGGGCCTTGTGTTGTAGCTGTTACGAATTTCCTCAAGGGAGGAAAGAAGGAACAAGGAAAAGGCAGAAGCTGAAGAGGAAAATTTCCGTCAAGAGACAAACAGAGAGTTCCGAAGTTTTAGCAAGGAATATAATAGGTCAGTAATATCTAGATGACAGTTTTTCTTAACAAATAATAAATATACAATTACATAAGAGGCGAAAATTGCATTAAACCAACTATAAATGGGAGTAGCAAAAAAGACTTGCGGTGATTTTTTTTTTCTAAAAATAGAGGAACATTTCTTTTGATAAAAGTCTTCTATAAAACAATGTGGATTTTGGAAACATTTTTGTGATTTTAAAACTAACTAATCAAACTAACTAGGAAGAAAAAGGTGTCTGATGAAGCTTCAAATTGGAAACAAAAGTATGAAGAGGAACTGGCTGAGCAGAAGAGAAAGTACGAAGAGGAAATATCTAAACTGAAGAAGGAGCATGAAGAAGCAATGAAAAGGTTACTAATGAAATAAATAAATTTGTATACAGTATATAGGGTAGAAATAATCAAAACAGGTTGGGAACACATCCCCTTTAGCGAGATCATCTCTAAAGCGCGATTATCCCTCTGTAGCGGGAGAAAATACATCTCGGAAAACCGAGATTTGTACACTGATTCAAACTGTAATCGTGTTAACTTCTGAAAAAGGAAAATCCGGGAGTATGTTAACCCATTCGGTAAATATTTATTGTCTCATCTCAATAAATTTGCTTCAAAATATTGCCTCTATTGCTGCAATTCATGGAAATTAGAATAAGTTTATGAACAATAGCGTAGCCTTCCTACGGAGGACCACATGTGATAATTATCAGTAAAACTAAACTTACTTTGGGTATACGGTTATTGTAATTGCATGTTTACCTTTTTTTTAATACGCCTGCTTGAAAAGCGGGAGTATATACAGCAGGACATAGTGATGGGGTGTCCGACTTTCCAAACGGCATGACGATCTCGAGACGAAGTCTGTTTGGTGACCTATAAATTCTCAAATCGCCTGATTGACTGATATAAAGTCCCACCTTCTTACTGTAAGAAGCGCACTCATTGGTTCTTTGCTACACTCGTCAGAGTTTCCAGGATCTTCTAACAGATACATGTATATTATTTTTTTCTGTATATTTTACCCGTGAAATAATACGTTCAGTGTCAGTTTTAAATTCTAGTCCTACGTAAATTACCGGTAATCAACCCTAAAAATTATTTTATCCTATACTATTGCACTTTCATATTGGAAACGTGATATTTTAGACGGCTAGAGATGGTACATTAGATGGACGGATAGGTGGGGGAGGGGTACTATAAACAAATAAAGTAGGTAGGTTGTGCATGGTAAAAGCTATCGACATAACCATTTTTAAATCTTTACCATTTTAATTGAAAGTCTTATCGGTGATCAACTAAGACTCGATCTTCTAATAAGGAAGCTATTAAAGGTGACAATAGCCTCTCTTATTAACTAAATAAAACAATTACAAGGTATAATAAAAAGTAAAATTCGAAGTATTCCATGCAATGTTCGTAGATATTCTTTCAAAATAAAGAATGTCTTTACCAGTATTCACCTGCCGCCAAAATACGGCTGAAATTTTGCCGACTCGGCATTTAACAATAACAATCAACACTTTTAGCTGTTTTTTTATTTATTTGATTTTTGGGGGCAGATTTTTCAGAAGCCCCCCCTTTTTTTAAATATAAAAATGCCACCTGGTCTGTGTGCTTTCATGTAGCCTTCTTTAATTATAATTAACAACACGTAAGTAGCAGCAATTTCAACAATGCAATTTCGCATTTTCGTTTAGTTATTAAATTTAATTCAAGGTAAATGTTTACACTTTCAACAGGCAAGTTTCTGTGTTAATGAAAAGAAGGGTAAGTGGTAACTGAAAAAAAGTTCGAAGCTGACCCCCCCCCCCCCCCCCAACCCCCCCCCCCCCACCCCTCTACCCGCATGAAATAGTATTTTCAGGTTTGGACAATGGTCAAATTCTCCTCTTTTTGTCAAGTTTTTTTCAGGTTGATTTTTTTTTTCTTTGAATTAGCCATCCCCCCTTTCCAATTTGCTTCCAACGCCGCTGAATCATGCTTTCCTGAATTAACAAGTTTACCATGCATCAACATTTGTACTAAGTCAATATCGGTTAGACTCAATATACGGTAAACCTTTTTTTATTAATTTGTTTTCAATATGAATGGTTTACCCATATTCTATACACATCTCAGTTTATACTTGCTTTTTAATCATGACTTTTCCACAAACGTTACAATCCTGTTGCGCTTCCGTACTTCTTCGCGTCAACCAAAGATCAAATATTTAAGCAAATATCATGGGTTTCTAAAGAATATTATTTTTAACTTTTGTACAAGAATGGAAAGCTAAGACCCTAAAGAGTATAATTTGGATATCTATACATATTTTATATGCTTCAAAAACATATATGAATGTAAATCTTGAAACCTTCGCTAAAAAGGCACGATTTACACGTGGATTTAGCATCTTATTCTCACACGCAGCAGTGATTGTCTTAAATTTCTGGCCAATTTTGTCAGTTTTTTGTAGGAAATTCACGCTTCAATGCAGCTTTCTCCCGGATTTTCAATACGCACGAGATTTTTGATTATTTTATAACGAAAACAACAAAATTCCTGTTTATGGTAATGTTTTTTTTTCCGCTAAAGAGGGATAATCACGCTTTAGCGAGATGATCTCGCTAAAGGGGATGTGTTCCCAACCTGTTAAAAAATATTTGTAATCAAATTTTTCA